ATTGGATGAAACTTTACGGCTCCAAATTAAAGCCGCAAAAATCAGCTTAGCCCGTTAGGTGGCAGCGGTTGCTGCTCCTATTATGTGAGCCCTTCTTGTTTCACCTTCCAGGGATATCACGGATGGCAGAATCTCCACCTGAATGGAGCGTTTGTTTCCGCATTTATTACACTTGTTTCCCGATTGATTTAATCCTTTTAGCATAGCAATTTTGAGTGTAATGAGATTTGCTGGCGGGTCTATAGATGGGATCAATAAAATGAAGCACCTGATGTATCCTCGGCTTGTGGTCACTTGCTGAACTCAATTCAATTCAAGTTAACCTTCTTTCGCAGTTGCCCCAAAAACCCACCCAAATATGTGTTCAGGAGTTGGGTTGGTTGCGGGAACAACGGAATTATATCCTCAGGAAGTTTGCCATTCGAACAACAGTTTTTGCGGCCAAAGTTTCGCTGTGTGCGGTCTTGTGTGTCAACTGTGTGGGGAGAAAGAGGAAGAGTTTTGCGGCTAGAATTTAGATTGAGCTTTATGACTGCTGGCAGCAGTGGGTATTTTCCTTACAGATCAAAATCGAAATTGACCTGAAATGTCAGTTTAAGGCTTTAAAAGAGAATTTAACTACTCATATTTAGTAAATTTGTTCCTCTATTTGCTCCAGTAGAATTATAAGAAAGTGGGTAAAGCTTTTGTGGAAATTTAAGCAGCTGCCGCAAATCCTTTTCTCTCCGTCTATGCAACGCCTTAAGACAAAATCGCAACGCTAATTAAGTTTCAATGTGAAAAGTGCTCTCCACAATTTGAAATTGGATAAAGAGCAGAGAAAAGGAGAAAAAAATTTACCTGATTCAACATCTTCGAGAGGATTTGCAACTGCCTTTTTTGGACTAACTTTTATTGGCAGTGGGGGAGAAGAAGAGAGATGGCTAATGGGTAATCATTTGACTGTCGTCATCTTAAGGGCTTTGAATAGTGGATGTGAAATCCGGCGTTTATTTGCAGATTGCGCTACTATTCTTACGCCTGATTAGCAGAATATTTAATTTAATTCTTTGTGATTCGTGCAGGAGAAATCAAGAAAAACTAAATGAAAGAAAGATAGGAAAGCGTAACGATGGGCGAAGGACAGAGCTTCCAATAAAGGACTGACTTTGATTGGTGCATAATCAGACGATGAGTCGAATCCAATGATTGAATAATCGCATTTTTAATTGGAAATCCACAGACAGTCAGCAGAAGTTTCTGAATTTGAATGGGGTTCGTCAACATGATTCGGTCTGTTTTTTATACCAGTACTCAAAAAAGAGTTAAGGGGTATATTGTATTTGTGATAAAAGTGGATGTGTGCAACGCAGAGAAGGAAACGTTTCCGACCCCATAAAGTGTATATATTCGTGATCAGCATCAATAGCCGAGTCGATATAGCCGACATATAAATATGTGAGTCATGCTACAAGTGTATTTAAAAATTTCGCACCTTCCCCTTCCGCCCCCACAAAAGACGAAAATCTGTGGCAGGCACATTTTTAAAGATACGATAAAACTGAAAGCGCAGTATCGTAGAGAATCTACCAGACTGCCGAACCTGAATCAGATCGGATCATAATTATAGCCAGAATGAAGAAATTAATTTTCTGTTGGTTCCCTCTCCTTCTCCAGCGCTGCTGACGCTACTGATTCTCTTTCTCGCTCGCACACTCTGCCGCGTTCAGTGCGCGAGCAACCCCTAGCGGAGGAGATGTAGAATCTAAATGGTACATGTAGAATATACATGTGAGATGTAAAATGTAATTTTTTTTTTAAATTCTAAAAAATCAATAGTTCAAAAATGTATATACTGACTGAGTACGGGTATAAGTAAAACGAGAAGGAACGTGTGAGTCGCTTCTTCAGAAGTTTTTGTTTGTCTTTTCCCCCTTTTCGATGAATGGAGGAAAATTATGTACTCTTCCTCGGGTTCCTGTAATATTGTAATGAAGTCATAACAAAAACGGAACAGAAACAGAACTCCAACCAAAACCAGAAACAGATGAACATCTTTGCATGGGAAGTGTCTGTTCAACGGGAAAGCATTCAAAGCGCCCTACTGAACCACAACCTGATGGGAGATGGATGTGGGGCTGATATACAATAGTTTTTAGTTTCTGTTCACGTATTTTGCGTGAATAAATTGGTAAATATAACCGCTATCAATATGCTCCCGTTCGTGCTCGTTCTCATTCGTCAAAAGAAAATCGCAGACATGGAATTGCATCTCACGAAAACCATCAGCGGGAACAAAATAAATATATGGATAGAAGGTATGTAGAATGTATCGCAGAGGGGAGTATAAAATCTGGTAAAAGCACGCATAGTCAATGGCTTGAAAGAAACCGGGATTTCGGGCCACATTTCTGCATCATTAAGTGGCAGCGGAAAGGAGGGAATATGCTAATAGTCGAGCCCCAGCACAGCAGTGGGATGGCATGTGAGATGTGGATGATATTTTGTGCACCACGACCTCACCGAACCAATGCCAGTATCCTTCATCGTCCTGCCTCTACTTTTGCTGGCTTTGATCTTTTTCTTTCGTAGGCGCATTAAAGGATCTGAGGCTGTTTTCCTTTTCACTACAACACATTCAGAGTGCGTACTATTTTTATCCTATCCTTTAATAGTTTGCAAAGGATTTATTGTTGGCATAAAGAATTTTGTTGAGCTGATTTTCATATTTCTTCGGGGTTCCATGAAAAATCCTCCGCTGGCTGCGATAATTCCCAATGCAATTTCAGAAACTGCGCCACTCTTTGGACATCAAAGAGGAAAACAGGTCTGCAGGAGAACAGCTGGAATACCTAGAGAAGTATATGTAATTTTCCAAGGTTTTGCAACTCATTTCCACTTTCTCTCGCTCGCTTAGGTACCCGCAGAGCCAACTGCGCGTGTTGATAGCCCGAAATTTATGTGGCTGTAAGTAGGGTCAGTATTTTTCTGCTGTATGCCCTCTAGTGGGAGAAATATTATACACGTGCTGATGCGGACTCCCTCCTCTGTGACTATTAGAGTGAGTGTGGGTGCTCAGCGTGTGGTTTCGCCCAGACTTTGGCCAATGGGCCAAGAAATTTCTGCCAGTTTTTGTTGGGCAAGGTGTCAACTGAAAGGGGGCTTAAATAAGTTGTACAAATTCTTTAAAATTATATACTTTCAATTTATTTTTACGTTCCGTTGAGTACCAGCAATGGAAAAACACTATTTGTTGTGCCTGAGTAAAAAAACACTGCTTAAAAATATATAAAGGATAGACTCAAGGCTCCCACAGTTTAAAAATAAATAATTTGAACTTTACTTTGTCGTTTGAGTATATTTAATATTTTAAGTACTTTCATGAATATCCATTTCATTTAATTTAACTACTTTTTGCTCTTTCTATCTACCTATTTCAAATGATATGTCTCTTATTCTCCTCTCATATTGTCAAACTAGAAATTATGTAAATTTCTAAAACAAATATCGGCTACTGCTTCCTTTCCCATTTTAATACTTTGAACTATATTTGCAAAAATTGTTTCGAAATTTACACTACTGCAACCTAATCATATTCGTGTATACTTTTTGGGCTAGATATTGTTTATTTTGCTTCACAATCTTCGGCCTGTGACTCAAAGTTGGTCGGAGAAAGAATAATCATGGATATTTAACCAGAAGAGACACATTTCTAATCATTTTTAGTAGGAGTTGCCTCTTACTGAATCGTCTATGAAGAGGATAGAGAAACAGGACCGATGTAGACATCAACTTAATGACAATTGTTCCCCACAGGGAAAAATAAATCGTTACACTCTTTCAAAGATAATTAAAATTCACAACTTTTCAAAATGAATAGAAAATTACACGCAATCTTTTTAGCATTTCTTTGTTAAATATATAGTTCTGTGATATCAGCAACTGTATTACAAAACTATTTATTTCCATGCAGAGGTTTTCACAATAAAGATGCATTACAAAAGAACAGATAGTCCTATAAGCCATATTACCAAAGAAAAATAAAACACAGACCAAAAATCGGTCTTTGAAATAACGGAGGCTTCTGCGACAAAACTCAAACAATGTAATATTAATATTTCGAGTGCGAACAAATAAATTCTAATAAAACACTGGCTTTTCACACTCCCGATCACTCTCTCCACATGAGACCCGTTATGATGACGGTGCTTGCTGACAATTGGCGCGGGCCCAATCCTCGATTCGTTAACTGACGCACTTAGACTCAAGTCTTTTCTTTCTGCTTTACCCGTTGTTATGGTTTTAATTTTTATACCCGAACTCAAAAAAGAGTTAAGGGGTATATTAGATTTGTGGTAAATCCACGTTTCCGACCCCATAAAGTATTTATATTCTTGATCAGCATCAATAGCCGAGTCGGTAGAGCCATGTCCGTCTGTCCGTCCATCCGTCCGTCTGTCCGTCTTGATGAGCGACTAGATCTGAGAGACTATAAGAGCTAGAGAAACCAAATTTGGTTTCCAGACTCATGTGATTTCACACTGCTCCCCACAAAGGACGAAAATCTGTGGCAGGCACATTTTTAAAGATACGATAAAACTAAAAACGCAGTATCGTAGAGAATATCCATATCTACCAGATTACCGAATCTGAATCAGATCGGATCATAATTATAGCCAAAATGAAGAAATTAATTTTCTGTTGCTTTCTCTGCCTCCCCCTGCCAGAGACACGCAACTGATTCTCTTTCTCGCTCGCACACTCTGCCGCGTTCAGTGCGCGAGCAACCCCTAGCGGAGGAGATGTAGAATATGAATGGAACATGTACAATCTACATGTTAGATGTGGAATATACATTGTAGATGTAGATAACAGATGTAGCTAAAAATGTAAAATGTAAAATTTTTTTTTTTTTTTAAATTCTAAAAAATCATAAGCTCAAAAATGTATATACTGACTGAGTACGGGTATAAGTAGAGTCGCGTCCCCAGAAGCGACTCACACGTTCCTTCTCGTTTGAAATATTTTTACTGTTTCTGCAGCTCTGATCTATCGACAAATTCCAATAAATTGCGACACAGAGGCAAGCAAAATAAAGGAATAAGCCAGAATAAGCTAGGCCTCCGACCGGCAACTCAAATAGAGAAATTGCCATATCCCCATCCCAGGGTCCAATCAAAAATTGTAATTTCCATATTTCCCCTTTCATTGGCATTGATTAATTCTCTTTTTGGCTTCATTGCCATGACAATCTATTGTAAACTTCTGTTCTGTATCCCGCAATGCAAAGTGCCGTAGGATCCCTGATTCGCGCATATTCCTGTGGCTTATGGATGCTTGTGGAATTATCCATGTGGCTGTAAGTAAATTGAAATTGCCATGAGAACATTTTGCCAAAATATGAACACGTGTAAATGTTGTTAAAATTTCTGCCTTGTGTGTAGTAAACATTTATTTTAGTTACTTTCTACATAACAGATTTTTGCGCTCATAGTTCGCTGATGGCTTGAGGAAACTCCATCTTTTGAGAGTGGCTTATGTGCAATGCAATGAAAGATTTTCTGTCTGAATTTGAAATTTCTTTGGATCATAAATATTTCAACAGATCGCTTTATTTATTACGAAACATTGAAGTATGGAAAACAGAATTCAGACATGAATGGAGACAAATGCACACACAAAATAGTTATGTTCCAGGGAATTTACGTGCAACAAAAGACACGTGTCATTTCAACTTTCTAGATGACTTCACAAAGGAAACCTTGACAAGGAGACATAAAGGATTTGTTGGTTCTTTTACCCAGTATGTTCCACCAGCTTCTACATTTTGAAAATGTTTTAAATAAATATCAATTTCACGTTATATTTAAAATGTATCATATTTTGTTATAGTTAAAGTACGTGCCTAGTGGAATTGAGTCAATGCTGGTAACTATAACAAACACAATGGTAGCAATACAACAAACGATGCAGGAGCTTATGCGCAACCAAAATCTCCTCCTGGAGCTCCTAATCAAACAGAAATCTGTTTAAATGTCCTGTCTAAATATATGTTTCTGGAATGCAAATGGCATTTCTCAGCACAAATGCGAGGTCTTACAGTTCCTCGCTCAACACGACATTGACGCCATGCTCATATCAGAGACTCACCTAACAAATAAAAACTATTTTCACCTCGATGGCTATAACTTCTACGCGACAAATCATCCCGATGGTAAGGCACATGGAGGTACTGGCATTCTGATCAAGAATCGCATTAGGCATTATCCATTGCCTTAATTTGCTACACCTTATTTACAGGCAACATCAATTCATATTGAAATTCAGAGCGGCTACCTTAACCTAGCCGCAGTATACTGCCCACCACGCTTCTGCATTTCCGAAACAGAATTTGTAACATTCTTCGACCTACTAGGTGACCGATTTATAGCAGCTGGTGACTACAATGCCAAGCAAACCCATTAGGGATCTAGACTTACCAACCCGAAAGGAAGACAACTATATAACGCTATAATAACCCCACGAAACAAGCTAGACTTTATCTCTCCGGGCAAGCCCACATATTGGCCCACAGATCCAAACACGTAACCCGACTTTATTGATTTTGCAGTTACACGAAGGGTGCTGCAAGCTCAGATTAATGTAGATCACTTAACAGATCTATCATCGGATCACTCGCCCGTTCTACTTCACCTTTACGACCATCCACAGCTTTCGGACCGCCCACACTTTCTTACTTCTAGCAAAACAGATTGGCTCAAATACAGGAAGTACATAAGCTCTCATATTGATAGCTGCCCAAACATTAATTGTAAAGATGTCGAAGCATTGGTTTCCTCAATGTCACTGGCGGCAAAACACTCAACACCAATATTAGCATCTAATAAACTTTCCAACAGCAGTCGTATTTCTAGGCACATTGAAGAGCTGCTACGCGATAAAAGAAGGCTTCGCCGAGAGTGGCAAGCACACAGATCACCTGCCTCGAAAGAGCGGCTAAAAATAGCCAACCACCTACTACGCAGAGCCCAAGAAGATGAAAAAAACATGCTCAAATATCCTATATCGAGCAACTCTCCCCAACTAGCAAACGATTCCCACTGTGGAAAGCAAAATCAGGCGTATGCCACCCAATCGAGAGTGAATCACCTTTGCGTACACAAACAGGAGAGTGGGCTCGCAGCAACAAAGAGAAGGCAAATACATTTGCCGTCCATCTAGAAAACATCTTCAAACCACACCCAGCAACAAATAGCTTTGTGCTCCCACCAACCAACAATCCCGAAGCTACTCCGCCTATCATATTCCAATCAGGAGAAGTCACAAGGGTCATTAAAGACCAAATCTCAAAGCAAAAGAAAGCTCCGGGCCATCTTTTTTCATCTCCCCTAAAATGATCATAGAATTGGCTAGCTGTGCAGTGAATTTCCTTACTGTGATATTTAACAGCATGATGAAATGGGGCTATTATCCTCAAGAATGGAGGAAATCAGTCATCACAATGATCCATAAAGCCGGAAAAGACAAGTCCAAGCCATCATCATATAGACCTATCAGCCTACTGCCTTGCCTATCAAAGATATTTGAGAAGCTGCTTCTGAATCGTATCAATCAACACCTACACATCAACGGTGCCATCCCGACTCACCAATTTGGATTTCGCGAAAAACACGGAACCATTAAACAAGTAAACCGTATAACCTCTGAGATACGAAATGCATTTGAAAGACGGGAGTATTGCTCCGCTGTTTTTCTGGATGTCGCCCAGGCTTTCGACCGCGTTTGGTTAGATGGCTTAATCCACAAAATCAAAATAATACTTCCAAAGCGTGCTTGGACCGACACTATATATCATATTCACAGCAGATATACCGACAAACAGCCTAACAACAACATCGACATTTGCTGATGATACTGCCATATTAAGTCGCTCCAAATGCCCAAGAAGGGCCACGGATCACTTATCATCTCATCTCGTGGCCTTACAAAAATGGCTAGCAGACTGGCGGATACATGCAAATGAGCAAAAGTGTAAACAGACAAACTTGCCCTCCATTATGTCTGAACAATATCAACATTCCACAAACCACCGAAGTAACATACCTTGGTGCTCATCTGGATAGAAGGCTTACTTGCCGTAAACACATCGAAGCGAATAGAAATCTACTTAAATTTAAAGCTAGTAATCTACATTGGCTAATAAACACCCGTTCACCACTAAAACTGGAGTACAAAGTACTTTTGTACAATGCAGTTCTCAAACCCATCTGGACATACGGCTCCGAGCTATGGGGAAATGCTTGCGTCAGTAATTTAGAAATAATCCAGAGAGCTCAATCGAAGATACTAAGAACTATCACTGGGGCACCATGGTACATACGGAATGAAAATATCCATAAAGACTTAAATGTAGGATCACTTAAAGATGAAATTGCCAAAGTGAAAGCAAAGTACCAGGCCAAGCTTCAAGCCCATCCTAACAGACTTGCGCAGGCTTTAACTTTGCACACTAGCCAAGCAAAAATACTTAGCTAGGGACGTACTCTAAGTAATTAAGTGTAATAATTTAAATAAATATATTAGGCTAAGATTTGTATACTTGTCGTAAGTCTCTAATAGGGAAGATTCGATAAATAAAATCCCGTAATAATACAAAAAAACGAGAAGGAACGTGTGAGTCGCTTCTGGGGCCGCGACCCTACTTATACCCGTACTCAGTCAGCGAATACATTTTTGAGTAAATGATTTTTTTGAATTTTAGAATAAAAAAAATTTTTACATTTTACATTTTTTTGCTACATCTGTTATCTACATCTACATATACTATGTATATTATACATCTAACATGTATATTGTACATGTACCATTCATATTTTACATCTCCTCCGCTAGGGGTTGCTCGCGCATTGAACGCGGCAGAGTGTGCGAGCGAGAAGGAAAATGAGTTGCGTTGTTGTGGGCAGGTGTGGGCAGGGGAAGCAACAGAAAATTAATTTCTTCGTTCTGGCTATAATTATGATCCGATCTGATTAAGATTTGGCAATCTGGTAGATATGGGCATTCTCTACGATACTGCGTTTTTAGTTTTATCGTATCTTAAAAATTGTGCCTGCCACAGATTTTCGTCCTTTGTGGGGGTGGGGCGAAATTTTGAAATACACTTGTAGCAGTGTGATATCACATGAGTCTGGAAAATAAATTTGGTTTCTCTAGCTCTTATAGTCTCTCAGATCTAGGCGCTGATCAAGACGGACAGACGGACGGACGGACAGACGGACATGTCTATATCGACTCGGCTATTGCTGCTGATCAAGAATATATATACTTTATGGGGTCGGAAACGTTTTCTTCTCTGCGTTACACACATCCACTTTTACCACAAATCTAATGTACCCCTTAACTCTTTTTTGAGTACGGGTATAAAAATTACCACGAATTACACACTGCGTACATGGCCTTATCAAATAACATTTCAATAACCAAGCCAAAATGAAATTGTGACAAATTATACGCCGTAAAATGCGGGATAATTGTTTGCCTATTATTCACATTAGAAGGAACACTTGAAAATATGTCAACAGCTAAACAAAAAACAAGTTTTCATGGCAGAAGAGCCCACAAATCACACAGAAAAATTTTGCAAATTTAATTAAAACTAAACGATTTGGAGCACATAAACAACTGTACCACATAGACCCACTCTTAATCTATTCCTCCCACAAATTTCATTCTGGTCATATGAGAAATGTTATACAAAATTTACCCTACCACTGGGTCACCATGTGACTTTATTCGAATTCGAAAATTTTTTTTTATTTGGATGGGAAATGTGGCTCTTGTTCTTGTTGTGTATCGTTTTTTTTTGCTGTTGTGGTGCAATTTGGTTTCATTAGTGGTTGAGCTAGCGAGTGGTTCCGTCTGCTGTCTGTCAGCTGCTCTACGTATATTTTATAGCTTTATTGTCAACATTTTGGCTGTCAGTGTTTCGCTGTTCTTATTTCTTTTTTTATTGATGGTTGCGTCGCCTCAGATTCGGCATTCTTTTCATTTTTCGATAATATGAGTATGGCTTCAGGTGGGTTCGAGGTTTTAGGCTGGTGACATGAAGGGAATTTTGGATTAGTTTCGGACTTTATGCGAAATTAGAGGTAGTGAAAAGATATTATCGGTGATGGTAAAGGTAGAGTAGATAAACAAAATTCGACTTATTATATCTGATTTGGTGAACATTATGTTCCAAAAATTATCCTTAAGTGCGGCACTTGTACTGGCATTTGTACTGGTAGTTGAGCTCTGCTACATACTTATATTTTATTGAAATACTTTTCTGTCCCACGTCTCTTTAAAATATTCCACTTCCTGTTTTTCTATTCAGTGCATGTTCAAATGTGCATCCCATTCCAGTCAAGTGCCAAGTGCTAACGCCACAAAACCGCTCCCAGCCAGCAGGCAAATTAAGAGGCTGAAGAAAACTAAGCAAGTGCGAAAAATGTCTTGGTATTCGATTTTAAAATTGTTGGCCTCAGCAAAAAACAAGTCAGCCAACTAGCTTTCATATGCGTGTCCGTTCTCCTCGAACTCGAATTGTTACTCGTATTGTGTTCATTTGATTTTCGCCAGCTGTCTATGGCGAAATGGCTGAATATTTGCATAGCCAGCAAAAGTTGGCAGCTGTCATCGCTACAACTAGTCCCCAGTTGCTGAAGGACTCTTTCACGACGATTGCGATTCCCATGTATTAAGGCAATGCCTTTTGAGGTGAGTTTT